GCGAAGGCTCCTCGTCCAGGCTTCACCCAACGAGGCACACCAGAACAAAAACTTTTGTTGCTCTTCCTGCACAACTCCAACGGCTCTCTCTTCATGGTCTTATTCCTTTATTGATCCAACAATGCATCTTGGAGCTTTTATTCCTCTTGCTCCAACAATGCTCAAATGCCTACAAAATGAATACAAATTTATCAATCGATACACTATGTACACAAAAACATAAACAAACACAAACTAAACGAATTTATATACGAAGTTGAGTTATTCAACTGATATTAACAACAAAAAGTATATGCAAAAATAACTACAATTTGCACTTGTCAAACTCTCCCCAACTTGAACTTGTTTGTCCTCAAACAAGAAACAAACAACCCGAAGAAACAAAAACGATCAACCAAAGAATCATGAATCTACAAATTTTGAAAACGGAAAACAAATGCAATGGTTCAAATGTAAAAAAAAAATCCACACAAAGTAAACACTTACCACTAAACTACGACTATAACATAAACACGAAACAAATGCTAAATACAAAAATCATGCCAAACATTCTAAAACAACACTAGTTCACAAATGAATCACACTTAACAAAATCAACCATCGGTAGATAACAAACACACAAAAATGAAGTATTTTCACACATCCAACAACCTTGCAAATAAAAGATTAAATTATACACTCATCCAAAAATTCATATTGAAAATATAAAGGCAAGAATTACAAGGGATTTTCAAGGTTGTAATGTGGCTTGGTTTAGAAACAAGGGATAAGTCCTAAAGCTAATTGAAACAAAAATTTGCCTTAATCTAAGATAGTGATCAATTCACAAAGACTCAAGCAACACAATTCAATCAAACTTCTTCTTCATTCCAAATTTCTCAAACCAATCACAATACTTATTATCACAACATTATTCGAGCTCTTTTTGTTTTTATTTTTCAAAGATTTTTCAATTTTTTTCTTTCTAATCTTTCTTTTTCTCTTTTTTTTTCTTTTACAATCTCATAGCAATTACAAAATAAGCACATAAACATTCCTCTCCCCAACTTGAGTTCAACCATCATCATAATGTGAATACTCCCTACTTTCTAAGGAAAGGAAAAAATTTAAACTATAAATCGTAGTTAAGGGTTCAAGAAAACAAAGAATCAATATCCGTACAAAAATGAGAACAAAACACTTATAGACAAGCATTTAGCAAAAACAATATGGACATTGACAAAAAGCTCAAAAGGGATACTAATGATCACACAATCATAAGGTGAATTGACTATTTGGCTAGGTAGTTGTGCTCAAAATGAAACAAAAATGTCTTGATCCTTCTCATGCTTTCATATAATCAACACAAATAAAAGATTAAGCATAATAAAATCCAGTTAAAACAAGAATTGTGGTTTTCAGCATATATGAACAATGGAAAGCTACCTCACAAAAAAGGTAGGAACTAAAGTGATTCACAAATGAACAAGTATACAAAAGAATGAATGGCATAAGAATTGTAAAAAGTCTAAGTATTATGAGTATGCTAAAGTATAGAAACCGATAAATACACACCTCGAACATGTACAAAACCTAAACAAAAATTACCATGCATTCGCAAGTCGAAACGATCAAATTTGACAAATCACCTCAATATCCTCAAGCTATTCACAACAAGCTCAAAGACAAACACAAAAATAAATAGAAATAATATACACATACTAAAATATCGAATGAAATTGTCTAAACAAATTTAAAAGTGGAGATATAAAATTTAAGAACTAGTCCGAGTTAAATTTGTTTAGACAATTGCATTCAACTACCTAAACTAACCAAATGAAAAACAATAAACATGTGCTTTACGTTATAAGTTTGACGCCTATTATTTAAGAACGTTCCTCCAAGTTGCTTCCACCCAGTTAATACTAACCAAAACACAAGCAAACGTGAAAGAAAACAAACAATGATATAATAAATTCACAATTATAGAAAACATGTACAAGTATCAATATACACAAGTAAAAATAGACAATATATACGATATCTACAAAACTCAAAAACAAAGGAATTATCGCGATATAAAATAATAAATTAATCCCCGGCAACAGCGCCATTTTGTTGCAGCGGCAAGCAAAAAGTAAAGTATTATTTTACCAAGTGATATAAGTTATATTGTATTGTATCCACATAGATTGGTTATCGAGTCGTCGTTCGACAAATCATTCGTTAATGAGTTTGAGGGGTTGAATGGAAAGAGAAAAAGTTATCAACGGAAAATAAATTCAGTCTTCCAAGGAACAACTTATCAAGCATGCATATAATTCACTCCTCACAAACTTAACCTATCGATCAATTATACTCAACCTACGATATTCATCAATGTCATCACGTGTCAAACACAAAATCCACTGTATCACTTCGACGGCGATCTCTCAATCAACCTCAACAACACAGAAGTCAACCGTGCTACTCGCGTTAACGATCTCTCAGTCAACACAACCAACACAGAGGCATTAATCACAAAAACTCAAGTGAATGCCACCTCTAAATCTATCTCTAGAATCCAGAAACTAACACATAATCATCCTAGATAAGAATTCAAGTAGTATATGTCTATAACAACCCAAATCCAACTAAAAGAGAATACACAAAAAAAAAAGAGAAATGAACCATAAATTTCTCGGTTTGTCAGCGTCGATCGAAGAGCAATCCACCCCGGATCATTCGTATGCAAGTTCCATAGTTGTTATCTAAGCTAATCCACAATAAAGATGAGGTTGATCGAGTTCGGAGATCAAAAACCACACCCAAAACCTAACCCTAACAAATGAAATGAAAATAAAATATAAAGAAAATCTGGTCCGCACGCGTCGTCCGGCGACATAAAAGCTTTTCCCGGCGACGACCGTTAAATACAAGGCCCAAGTTGCACCACACACGCAATTGGTCAAAAATATCCACCCTTGTTCGACGAAGGGAAGCTTTGCCCGAAGACGTCCTTATTTCTCGCCCAACGAGCTGCTGGAGAGCCCAAGTCAGTGGCTACTGAAAAATAATCCAATATCTCGCCCCTCCGTCGCCCGGCGAGACAAACGCGAAGGCTCCTTGCCCAGGCTTCGCCTGGCGAGGCACACCAGAACATCAACTTTTGTTACTCTTCCTGCACGACTCTCGTGGCTCTCTCTTCTTGGCCTTATTCCTTTATTGATCTAACAATGCATCATGGAACTTTTATTCCTCTTGCTCCAACAATACTCAAATACCTACAAAATTAATATAAAACTATCAATCGATACACTATGCACACAAAAACACAAATAAACACAAACTAAACGAATTTATACACAAAGTTAGATTATTCAACTGATATTAACAACAAATAGTCGATAAGTACAACAAAAAGTATATATAAAAATAACTATAATTTGCACTTATCAAAGTCTCATCGGTAAATTGTTATATTTAACTCACATTAGGCTTGATATTAGTTTTTCTGTTTGCTGAGTCAATTTTCATCCAAGCCAACTGAAGCTTACTTCTAGGTAGCATTACAGATTCTTGGGTACATCAAATATGCTTCAGGACAAAGACTGCTCTTCAAATCTGATTCATCTGCCATTCTATCTAGATTTACTGACTCAAACTAGGGCTCTTACAGCGACCCTCGAAAATCAACTACTGGCTTTTGTTTCTATCAAGACAGCTCTTTCATTTGCTGGAAAATCATGAAACAAGATTTTGTTTCTCATTCATCATCAGAAGCGAAATACTACAAATTGGCCAATACTACAAATTGGCCAACGCTACTTGTGAAGCCCACTGGTTACTCTTTCTTCCCCATGACCTTGTAATTTCTCACTCTCAATCTGTCAACATGTTCTATGATAATTGTTTCACCATTCACATAGCCAACAATCTGGTATTTTATGAGCACACAGAACACATAGAACTAGATTGTCACACTGTGCCTGACAAGGTTTAAGATAAAACCATTCACCTTATGCCTATTCATTCCACAAAACAAGTTATTGATGTTTTCACGAAAGCCTTTCATATAGATCCTTTTTCCAAACTTGTTAACAAACTTGAACCGCATGATATACATTCAAGTATGGGAGTTGTTAAACACAATTAACATATATTTTGACTTAATAGTTTTACTTAGGGCCTGTTTGGGAGTTTGGAGAGAGAAAAAGGAGAAGACTTTAAAAAAAGAAAATATTGAATGGAAAAAATTGAAAGATTTTGGTTAGCCAGTTTTTGAGGGTTTGATTTTATTCATTATATCAAAAACCTTATAATTTGGGTGAATTCAAAATTTATATTAAATGGATTTTGAAAGTTTTAGAGGGCTTACATAAATTTTTCAAATATCTTTTATATTGTTACAATATTTTAAAAATTAAAAATATAATAATGATAAACACTCTTTTATCATTTTATATAAAATTATTTTTTCAAAAATTCATTTTCGGAAGTATTCCCCTCTCAGCTCGCAAACAAAGCCTCAGGGTTGTAACTGGTTTTGCTATTTTTTTAGGCTGCAACGTTTTTATGGCAGTTACACTATATACAAGTGTATATATACTGCTCAGGGAATAGAATTACACTACATACAACATACAAGTGTATATATACTGCTCTAGATTAGGGGATAGGATTAAGTTGAATAACATTTTGTATTCCTCTTCATTATTCAATGAATTCCAGATTTTTCTGTGTCCAAGGGACACCTCTTAACAAAAACAATAAACGAAGGAAGAAAATATACTTCACTTGTTAAGAAACATCCTCCTATCGTAAGAAAAAAAGAAACACCATCCGTGGAATTTCCAGACTAGGAAAGAAAGGAACAAATATTGTACACACCATATACAACTATTCTTCTAAATTCTAAACTAGCTCTATTGTTCCTTGGCAGTTATCAATGTCAGTGCATTGCTCAAAATTTACATGTTGACAGAATTGCCAGAGATGTTGAATTAGTAATCAAGATGTAGTGCGCGTATAATGATGTAATGCTAGCTTTGGTCAAGTTTGCTTTTTCTATTCATCAAGTCATGGTAGTATAGTAGTACACACATAGGTTGACCAAGAATACAGAATGAGAACCAAAAAAACATATTTCCAACCTGGCACCATGAAAAAAATACCAAATTATAAATAAAAAACAATTAAGCAACTTCGAGATATAGAACAATGAGATGCATTGCGATATACCAATATGCGTAAATAGCACATTTACCATTGAGTTGCTGAATTTATTTTGCAGGTAGTTAGTTATCAAGACCAAAGGAACCTAAGGAGAAAAAAAAGACATCCATTATCATGTCAAGTGAACCAATATTAACTATATGGATGGTATTTATGAAACATAATTCCACTAAAAGCCCGCAACTTCACTTAAAGAAAAACAATAGGGTAATTTGATTTTTACCTGAAATATAATTCCACTAAAAGCCCACAACTTGAATATGTGGCAAGGAACTGCAATGCACAGCTGCACTCAGACAGAATAAAAATCTTGAGAAGTTGTGTAACTCTAGTTGCGGTTGGCAATCAAATTAAGTTATTCATATTTACATGCATACTTTTTATTAGGAGGAACAAATGACTGATTCACAGAAAACAACATAACTACAACATGCACACACAAAATGATTCACGCCTAAAGACAGCACCATGAGTGTGTCTAGGGGGATTTTGGTAACTGTATCATCTACACGTATGAGGCTTGGTAACTGATTCACGGAAAAATGATTCACAGCTAAAAATATGCACAAACTATATCAGCTACACATATGAAGCTTGGTCGTAAAGTACTCGAGGTTTAGTTAAAGGGCCACCATGGTTAATACACTAAAGCCTCTGTGAGGTTGTAGATATCTCAAATACAACTGATGTCTGAAATTCATGTATACTATAACAAATCAGTCATAACTCACAACTTTGTATCTAATTTTCATCCTCGTCACTCACATTCATATAACTGCAAAAGGAAAGGGGAGGAAAAGATACTCAAGTAGTATAAGTGCTAGTATGCAGACAAACAGTCAAGTAGATGTAGAACAGCCATTATAGTAAAATAAGAAAAAGGAAGTAGTGAAGGATGTATATACAGAAAGAGATGAACAACACACCTCATGGAACAAAGCAGAAACCAGGAAGGCAATTAAAACAGCAGCACCCTGTACGATGAGATGACAAAAAAATTTAATATAAAATATATTACAGCTAAAAAAAATAGCATCAATATGCTAAAAAATGAAGAGGCAGTCCAAATATCATCCAATGATAAGCAATTAAGAAATGTTTGATAACAAAGACCAAGGAAGAAAAAAAATGAAAACAAGAGATGTGTTAGGATAGAAGAGAGTGAGAATTTAGTTAGCGACAGCTAGAGTTGTTAACTGATTAGTTAGTAAAAATTAAAATACAAAATAAGTAGGACCCGAGGAGAGAGCGATAGAAATCAAATTTGTAAATATTTAGTTATTAGAGTAGGGGCTCTGTTGTATTTTGAGGAGAGAACTCTCCTATTCTCTCAATACTTGTTTTCCTATTTTTTCAATTTATTTTCTTTGGTTTCAAAGAAAATGGGTTGAATATGTTTATGTTAATATAAAAATGAACATTTTAGATATTGTCCCTTTTTAAATTATATTATTATCATTCTATAGTTATAAAGTTCCAAAGTCATTCTTCTGAAATGACAACAGGAAATTGTAACTTTGATTATTGTCTGTCAATTGAACACTTTCTACAAATAGCTCCCCAAGTACATCAAACATATATCAGCATACAATGTGCGTGTATGTGTGTAATTAAAACTTGCACAACATCAACTCTTTGAGATTGTTTATTAGGACAGAAGTAAGGTGTTAATTTCAAATTGACAACAATAAATTGAGATGGTAAACACAGACTGACAATATCCAAAATAGAAAATTTCTATCCACACAAGTGTTTAGATCGAATAAGTTCAGGAATTGCTCAGTAACACAAGAAGAGTCTTCATTACCTTGGGTATACCACTCCTTAAACATGGAAAATATAGGTGACGAATCATCCATTTGTGAACAGGCTGCAACGTGAAAGAAACCGTTCAGATATACACTGATGATTTAGAACTCCACTTAAAAGTAATAAAAACCACTAATGTGTTATGACATGCGGTTTTAGAATCATTTATTGAGTATGAAATAGGAAGCTACATAAGTAACAGACGGAGACAAGCTGTAACTACTCTTTCTTCTTTCTGTTAACATGGCCTCATAGACATCTCTTCAGAGGAATTGCCAGAGACTAGCAAATTATTTGGAGATAACAAAAAGAAAGGGTTATGCAACTTGATCATTAAAATTAAGTTTCAGAAAGACATACCATATTCCACATCCTCCAATACTGATGGAAGCAGCGGCACAAATACATCCAAAAAAGACAAATGAGTAACAAATAATCTTCATAAAAGAATGACAGTATTGTAAATAAACAACAATGTATTAGTGTAAAGAACCTACCTCTTCAAGAGTTCTGGCATTCCACCAATCCTTGTAAAATTCGCGATCACCAAATCGAAGAAGCTCTGCCAGTATATTTAACCTACATTCAAATCAGGCCCAAGGATAAACTGATTCAGATACTAATCAAATCTCAAAATACATATTGAATTGTAATTCCAAATTCCAATAACCACGACTAAGACATACAGATCAGCATTTTTGTGTGTAGACATAGATCATTTTTTCAAAAGAATTATTTTATTAAAGAAATGAAAAAGGAGTATAAATAAAGAGAAATAAGAGATTCTCACAAGACAGCATTAAAATGTAAACAATCCATCAATACAATAAAGCTCTCCAATCCCTTTGTGCGTCTGAGTCAGAGTCTTACTTAAATTAACCATGAGTGGCGCGCCAAATACAACAACTATTAAACCTTATTCTTTTATGTAGAGCCGGCTATATGGATTAAACAATTCCGTAATTCCCTGAATGGCGCACCGAAGAGAGGCTATAAAAACAATTTTACATACTATGGAGCAATACTTCGGACAACAACGGTCTCCATATGTACACAGTTTTAAATCAGGTAAGATGTTCCCACCAATGATGCACTTTGAGGGTTTATGCTAAGATGGATATGAATATGACGTTGGGGATCGTTTGAAAGATTAACCAATTACATACAGATATAAGACATTAACAGCATCAGAAAATTGGCAGAGTACAAATGTCAAAACATTAAATGCAAGAAACTATAGCTTCATTTTTTTTCAATTTATGGCAAGTGAAGACAATTTCATACTAATAGTTTATAGGAAAAACACAAATCACACATGCTTAACTGAATAAGAGATGGAATACCAAAGGTGGAAAAAGCAGTAGAACATGCAGAGCCACACATATAGATTTGGAACAGACAGCTTCAGAACTCTTTCGATGGCATAAAGAAGGTTTCCCTCAAAAGGATGCTGGGAGTTTTGTACAATAGGATTGATATACTGCAAAATTACATGATCAAAATACTGTTAGAATACCTGAAAATTTGGTAAAGTTAAAATACAACAATGTAAAGAAAAAGGAACTGAAAGGTAGAAATTAACAGAATGTATTAACATGGACTGCTTACTTGTTCAATTATAAATCCCATAACTCCGGTAAATATTATCAGCTTGATAAATTGACGTAACACCCAACCCTTTCGAATAAAAGGGGTGCGAGGATATCTTGGCTAAAACAACAGTTCACAGCACACACAATAAATGAGAACAAGATACATATGAGAAAGACAGAAAAAATTTGCATCTAGAAATAAAAAAGTGCGGTGCATTTGTGTGAGAAAATGCAAGAAAAAAAACAGAGCACAACCTAGGATACAACACTGAAATAAAAGATGACAAAGCCAAAACAGTATTCTCAAAAAGCGGAAGAAAAGTATGCTACATCTATATTTATATTTTCATGCTAGCTAGTATGTAATAATCAATCCCCTAAAAGAATTTCAGCCCCTAAATACATAATAACGAGAAGCAAGGACCAGGATAAAACACAACTAGATCAAAATGTGATAGTGAGATAAATGTTAGATATAGCAGAATTTGATCCAGTAACTTGTAAAATACATGGGAATGTTGGGAAGTTTGTACAGATGGAAATACAAAGGAATCTAGAGAAAGAATTTTGGGAGTTCTGCTAAAGAACTTGTATTTGATTCAGCAAAATGTTTGGTCGCAAAGGCATGCCAGAAGAAAATAAGCATTGAGTGTGATATAGATGAGGTCAAATGGCCAACATTTGAAAAGAAAAGAAAAGAGAAAGACAGGTAATAATTGATTGGACACACTTCCTCCTAATCAAGTGATCACATGGAAAACCAGTGCTGTCGATGGCGGTCCATGGCGGAGAGCCAAAATTCCGCCATACCGGCCGCTTCGCGGCGCCGTTACGGAGTATGGCGGAAAAACCCGCAATAGCGGCCGATATTTACCATTGCGGCGAGCCCAAAAACTGTCATGTATATCCACCATAGCGGCCATGGCGCGGCAATTTGATAACACTGGAAAACTCAAACATTCTGACTAGTTATGCTTGTTAAAAGAGAATTCCATCTGTAGCCGCATAGCAATTATCCATGGGCGTATATTCTGACTACACTCTTCAGTCAAAACCTTAAACATACTCCATACTGAAGATATATCAACAAGTCCATATTGTTGTGCTTATAAGCAGCCTAGCAAATATCACCAAGTAAATTTAATGAAACTAAATGAGGAAATAATGACAAGTCAAAAGAACTTGCATCCTAAATTTAAAATAAATAACTCGACAATGCTGCTACCTGGTAACATAATGTAGGAGCAACCATAAAGTAAGTCAGGCTTTTGAAGCTCACGTCGTATGGATAGTCCATATTCAGAGTACTGGGAAGAGCTTCTCCCTATAACACAGGAAACAAGATTGAATGGGGTGAAAACAGAAAGTGTATGTAAAGCAGATTCACACATCTGAAGAGACTATCATTCAGGAAAAAGTAAGGGATGAAGGGGATAGCATTATGGAAGTGATTCTAATGAAAAGGAAAACTCTGCTTTTAGCATCTTCCGATGTGTTAAGAGAACATGAAATCCCAAAGCTCGCTTAGTAAATCAGGATTTTCTTGTTTTAAAACTGATCATTATGAAATATTTATTCTAAAGTTGAAAGGATATTCTGCAATAGTAATCTACCAACTTAAAAGTGGAACACAAATATTACCTTTTCAATTGAATTGGCAAGTGCTCTCAAATCATAGTTTGTATGAGCATAAGAAACTAGTTTTAACCATACAATGCAAGAAAGTAACATCAATGTGACGCCTGACACAAAAGCTGAATCACACCTGCAGAGAAACACAAACATTGTTGCTTTAGCCTTATCTATTGAAATGACCAAGAAAGAACAAGTATATAATTAGTTATCCCTCGAGCAGTCATCTTTACTTTATCTCTCATAAAGCAACTCACATGTTTACAAACAGGCTACGTGTATCGTAATAGGAAAATAAGAAGTCGCACTCTTGTTATCAGTTTTTTTTCTTTTCCAATTTTCCTTGTCTATTTGTCCATTTCAACATTCCAATATTAATTTGCAACACATTCATTTCCGACATTATAAGAATTAAGAGCTAAATATTGAACCATGGTCCATCTAAGGAAAGGGCTTCATATCTCTCCTCAATTAATAATTAAAAAGAATGTTTTTAAACTTCTGATAGACCAAACTGGTATTGAGAGGAGAAACAACAAGAATAAACGGAAAAGGAGAGACTTGTATTAGGAATTATTCCTGGGATCAATGTGATCAGAGGGAAAGAATGTTGTACATCTGGGGCTGCTTTGTGAGTGCCCTAACACACACAAAACTCAGTGACTTCTATCACACCCGTATATTTCCCAATTCTTCCTATTTATATCACATCACCTTTTCATCAACTAACTAACTAACCAAAAGACGATAACATGGTGACAATAGTTGACCTCCAATAGAGAAGGTTTACATTAGAACAAATAAGCAGGACAGTATGGGAATTAGAGTTTCAGGGCAATGGTAATTGCAACAGAATAACATACAAAAGTTATAAAAAAAAAAAGTGGGAAAAGAGGAACTGGGGGCTATCGTGTGTTTCAGAAACAGTTGTGAGGAGAGGTACTAGCTCTTTGTAACATATGGGTACCTATGCCATTTTTGTACTCTTCATCTTTGACTTTGTCAGAGTATCAAATTGATACATAACTAGGGACTAAGGGTTCTATTAAAGTTTGTTGTGAATTCAATGCCAATAACAAAGTATAGAATAAGGGAAGAATAAAGAACAAGGAAGAAGAAGAACACAAGAATTGGTTATAACTGCTATTCTTTACTTTCTCTTAGAAAACAAGATTACAAGTTTACAAGAATAACAAATAACCCTCTCACCCTAAATTAGGATTTGCTGTGTTGGCAATGATGAGAGACTAGTATGCTATTTATAATAAAACCTAACATACTAACTAATGGGTTTTTTCCACAAGGCCCATTATACAAGCTAACTTAACAAACAAGCTAACTTAACAAATTAGGGTTTAAACACTAAAACCTAATTCGACAAGCATCCTTCGACAAATACATGCTAGAACCTTCTTCGACTACAGCAAGTACTTCGACCAACTAGAGTTCGATCCAAAATCCCACAAATCTCCACCTTGGACCTAACTCTACAGCATCAAGAGACACTAACTAGCTTTCTTCATGCAGCTTTATCAACTGCATACAGTGGAAAAACTTGCAACTTGGCAATGTTTTGGTGATCATATCAGCAGCATTGTGATCTGTCGAGACCTTCAGCACTTGGACTTCTCCACGTTCGATTACCCCTCTGACGAAATGCAGCCTCACATCTATGTGCTTGGTTCGCTCATGATAGGCTGAGTTCTTCGACAGGTGTATTGCACTTTGACTATCACATTTAACAGTGATACCTTGACCTTGAAGTTTCAGTTCCTTTGCAAAACCTTCAAGCCACAATGCTTCTTTCACAGCTTCAGTTAGGGCAATATATTCTGCTTCAGTAGTTGATAAGGCAACAACCTTCTGAAGAGTTGCTTTCCAACTAATTGCTGTACCAAACATAGTGAAAACATATCCAGAAATAGATTTTCTGGAATCCATACAGCCTGCATAATCAGAGTCAACATAGCCTTCGACTGCTGCTTTACTATCTTCACCCAAGGCTCCACCATAAATTAAGACTCTGTTCAGAGACCCATTTATGTACCTTAGAATCCACTTTAACGCTTGCCAGTGAGCCTTTCCAGGATTCGCCATGTACCTGCTTACAAGGCTTACTGCATATGCTATGTCGGGTCTAGTACAGACCATAGCATACATCAAAGAACCAACTATATTAGCATATGGGATGCTGTTCATATAGGTTCTTTCGACATCAGTACTGGGACATTGATCAATGCTCAGCTTGAATTTAGGGTTTGTTGGAGTCACAACAGGCTTTGAATTCGACATACCAAACTTGTCAAGAATCTTTCGTAGGTATGCCTCTTGAGATAAGCATAATTTCGACTGCTTTCTATCTCTTCGAATGTCAATTCCAAGAATCCTAGATGCAGCTCCCAGATCCTTCATGTCGAACTCCTTATTGAGTTCAGCCTTCACCCTCATTACATCTTCGACATTGTTGCTTGCTATCAGAATATCATCAACATAAAGCAACAAAATTACAAATGAATTTTCAGGTCGAAATCTGGAGTAAACACAATGGTCGAACTGACTTCTAATGAAACCTATGTGTTCCATGAACCTGTCGAATCTCTTATTCCACTGTCGAGGAGATTGTTTAAGTCCATATAAAGATTTCTTCAGTTTGCACACATAATCTTCTTTCCCCTTTTCGACATACCCTTCAGGTTGCCTCATCAGGATTGTTTCGTCTAAGTCACCATACAAGAACGCAGTCTTCACATCCATTTGTTCCAGTTCAAGGTCGAACTGAGCCACCATGGCAAGCAACATTCGAATGGATCTGTGCTTCACAACAGGGGAAAATACATCATTGAAGTCGACACCTTCTTTCTGAGTGAAACCCCTTGCGACTAATCTTGCCTTGTACCTCTTCGACATTACTCCTTCAATTCCTTCCTTAACTTTGAAAATCCACTTACAGCTGACTAACCTTGCCCCAACAGGTTTCTTGATCAGTTCCCAAGTGTGATTATCATGAAGAGATTTCATCTCATCATGCATGGCCTTTAGCCATTCAGTCTTCATTCGACTCCTTATAGCTTCCTTATAATCTCTAGGTTCTTCGTCTAGAACTTCACTTGCAGAGATTAAGGCATAAGCTACAAGATCTGCATATCCAAGTCTCTGAGGTGGTTTTATGACTCTTCTTTGCCTATCTCTCGACAATAGGTAGTCATCAACAGTTTCCTCAACATCATCAGAATCTTCTGTTTCTTCTTCGACTTCATCTGGAATACGCATTTCAGCATCAACATGCTCCACCTCAACAGGAATCTCTACCTGTTCCAGCTCTTCGTCAACATCATCAGTTTTCTTGAAAGCCATTTCCGTTTCATTGAAAACTACATCTCGACTGGTGATACACCTCCTGTGACCTGGCTCTAGGCACCATAGCCTATAAGCTTTTACTCCTTCAGGGTATCCCATAAACATGCATTTCAGAGCTCTAGGTTCGACCTTGTCTTGCCTAATGTGAGCATAGGCTACACAGCCAAATACTCTTAGTTTGTCGAGATCTGGTGGATGTCCCGACCAAACTTCTTCAGGTGTCTTCATATCTAACGCTGTCGAAGGACATCTATTTATCAGATATGCTGCTGTCGAAACAGCCTCAGCCCAAAACACCTTCTTTAATCCCGCACTAGTCAACATGCATCTAACTCTCTCCAAAATAGTTCGATTAAACCTTTCAGCCAAACCATTTTGTTGTGGAGTACCTGCGGTAGTTCTGTGCCTTGCAATACCAGAGGCAACACAAAAACTGTCGAACGCCTCATTGCAAAACTCAAGGCCATTGTCGGTTCTCAACCTTTTTACCTTTCTGCCAGTTTGATTTTCGACAAGAGTCTTCCAACTTTTGAAATTCTCAAAAGTTTCATCCTTAGTCTTCTGGATGAATACCCATAACTTTCTGGAATAGTCATCTACTATGGATAGAAAATACTTTGCTCCTGAATGTGATGGACACCTTGCAGGCCCCCAAAGATCAGCATGGATGTAATCAAGGGATCCATGTGTTCTTTGTTTGCCTTTGTTGAACTTCATTCTACAGGATTTTCCAAGTACACAGGGTTCACAAAACTTCAGCTTTTCGACTTTATCTCCACCAAGCAGATTTTGTTTCCCTAATTCAACCAGACCCCTTTCACTGACATGGCCCAATCTCATGTGCCAAATTTCTGTTTTCGACAAAGGTTTCGTGGATGCAACATTTGTCGAACCACTTACAACTTCAGCCTCAAGGGTATACAAGCCTTGTTTCTTCACGCCTCTCAAGACTTCCTTCGACCCTTTCATGACTCTTAGGATACTTTTCTCTCCTTGAAAAACATATCCTTTCTTGTCGAATTCACCAAGAGAAATCAAATTTCTCTTCAAATCAGGTACATACCTGACTTCAGTCAACAATCTTATTGACTCATCATGGAGCTTGAATCTCACAGATCCAACGCCTGCAATCTTGCAAGCTTTGTTGTTTCCCAGCAATACCGATCCACCATCTTGATCACATAATTCCTCGAACAAGTCTTTGTTTGGAGTCATGTGCCAAGTGCATCCAGAATCCATAATCCACTCCTTCGACGAGTTGTTGCTTGAAACCACAAGAACATCAGATGATTCGAAATCATCTTGGACAATAGCTGCATTGCCATTATCCTTACCTCCATGATCTTTCAGGCGTTCAGGGCACACCTTTCTTGTGTGACCTATTTTCTTACAGTGATAGCATCTAATACCAGATGTGTCACCACTATAAGACTTCGACTGATTTTTACCTTTCCTCTTGTCGAATTTTCCTTTAACAGCCAAACCTTCACCAACCGTCGAAGGTTTATGCTCCTTACGTTCGTTCAAGTCCTTAGAGTACAAAGCTGATTGAACTTCTTCAAAGGTCAGGGACTCTCTTCCATACAAGAGGGTTTCTTTGAAGTGAGCATGTGATCTGGGCAAAGCGCACAATAATAACAGCGCTTGATCTTCATCATCAATCTTTACATCAATATTTTCAAGATCAAGAATCAGCTTGTTGAACATATCCAACTGCTCAGCCAACACTTTGTCTTCAATCATCTTGAATGAATACAAAGCTTGCTTCAGGTAGAGTCGATTTACCAGAGATTTGGTCATATACAAACTTTCAAGTTTCACCCATAACCCTGATGCCGTCGTCTCCTTTGATACCTGTCGAAGAACCTTATCACCAAGGCTCAACAAAATTGCGCTGTGTGCTTTCTCGATCATGGCCGTCTTCTCTCTTTCTGTTAACGCAGCGTCCATCGCCGTCGCTCCCTTCAACGCTTCCAAACAACCCTGCTGAACCAGTAGGGCTTTCATCTTCAAGCGCCATAGACCGAAATCATTCACTCCGGTGAACTTTTCAATCTCATATTTTGTTGAAGGCATCTTCTCCACGCTCACCGCACCAGTTTGTTGTGAATTCAATGCCAATAACAAAGTATAGAATAAGGGAAGAATAAAGAACAAGGAAGAAGAAGAACACAAGAATTGGTTATAACTGCTATTCTTTACTTTCTCTTAGAAAACAAGATTACAAGTTTACAAGAATAACAAATAACCCTCTCACCCTAAATTAGGATTTGCTGTGTTGGCAATGATGAGAGACTAGTATGCTATTTATAATAAAACCTAACATACTAACTAATGGGTTTTTTCCACAAGGCCCATTATACAAGCTAACTTAACAAACAAGTTAACTTAACAAATTAGGATTTAAACACTAAAACCTAATTCGACAAGCATCCTTCGACAAATACATGCTAGAACCTTCTTCGACTACAGCAAGTACTTCGACCAACTAGAGTTCGATCCAAAATCCCACAAATTAAATAACAATTCCTTTCCTTGTAGACTTCTTCAAATCCCTACTCCATAAGCAAATTCTATCAAAATGGACTGATAGTTTAAACAGAAATGTTAAAACTTAGAGAACGGCTACAAGTCTAGATTGAAGCTCCAATATCTATTCCGAAGAATACACAAAAGTACAAAACTGACCTGAGGATTACTAAAATGGGATAAAGAATTGCAGTTGCTGTAATGATTATATGAAGTAGAATAGCAATCTGCAAAAATTGTAGTGAATATTCACATGCATTAAATATTTATTATATAGTTTGAAATAAAGTACCACAGCATAATCGACAATATTTCAAAACTATTTTAGCTAAACAGCAAGCATGGATCCCATGTGTTCTCTCAAAACCCTCAGAATATAATAAAAGTACAGTTGGTCTGATAGCTTACTGGTTCATAAATACATTTTTGCTGTGCCAACTTTTCCACTATAAAGGCCACCAAAGGAAATATCGCAAGACTAAGACTGCAAAACAAGCATAAACCACTTACTGAGTTACCGTAAAATTAAGCATAAAAAACAATCCTAATACGATCCTCAAAATAAAGAAAGAAGTTAAGAGAATTCACTATGCTCATTACCAACACATGAAGAGGGGCCAATCTCTCAATGATTTTGAACTAAACCAAAATCCAGTCTTAATCAACCAACCATACTGCAGAACAAATATAAAAAAAATAATATATCAAAAGAAACAGAAAATGAAGTGACAAACTTATACGTCATAACGAAACCTCCATCATATTTAAGAGGGAAGAGAAAAACCTTCATTATATTCTCAATGATAAGTCTGCTGTTCACTGCAACAAGGACTACTATACAGAGGTTGAAGAGGCCCGCGTGACTCTGCAACTGATCGAAAAATTAGTATAAAAAAAATACAATTACCTAGTCAGCAAGCCGGTTCATTTATAACAACAACACCGAAACCGCAGTAGTAGCGGCCAAAAAAAATCTCTGCCATTCTATTCAATTCAAACATTAATAATGGATAGTTTTTTAAAGTCTTGCAGTTAAACTCTTACACTATTAACAGTTTGAAAAATAAAATTGTAGTAATTAACAATTAAACTATAAATTAATTAACAATTAACATTACCGATGAACTTTAATTATATATCTCACTTTGCAAATAAATTCTTATCTTACTATCTACTATTTATTAATTTTTTTTTTCTAATTCTTTTAGTATTTTTAAGTAACTTATTTTCATTTCAATTTTATAATCTGATGCCAAATTCTAAACTAATTTAATTTAAATATAAAATCTAACGTAACGTCTTTCTTCTAACTAATCAGTTAAACGAATAAATAACACAATTCAAAATACAAACTCAAATTGACGGCGAGAACCTGACGGAAAATGTTATCGGAGCTGAGAGGACTTTCCTTGATTTTCCGATGAGCCGGAACAGAAGGACGGTACGTGAATTGGATTGCAGGAACATTATTGACTCGGTTTTGATCAGGATTACCGTCAATATTCTGATCACCGCTGACAGAGTCGTCGGAACTAGAAGAATCCTTGACTAACTCCTCACCGGAACTCTCGCCTTCCACGGTAGAAGACAAATCGAACAAGCCGTTGACGGAGGTGGCGCTCGGTCTGCGCCGCAAGAGAATCGAGGCGTTCTGTAGAAGTTGAGGCTCGTCGGAAATCGCCATTGGAGAAGAAGAAGAAGAAGAAGAAAAGGAAATGACGTTTACTTTACTCAGTCTACTCAACAAACGATCGGTTATAGTTATTGTACTATTATATTTATTGTATGATTTTATTTTATTTATAGAAAATTATAGAAATACAAATAGAACAATTTGTATTTTATTGATAAACTAATATTGAATAAGAGAGGAAAGTGTTTATATATATAATATATTCATGCAGAAGAAAGAACGAGAGAGAAAATAGGAATCTGATTTTATTTGATTCGATTCGAAAAAGATTAGGCTCTGTTTGCGGGAGATGTTTTTAGCGGTTCATTTTGTTGGATTGTGTTTGTGTACAATATTAACAAAGGAATGAAAAATAAGAGAAAATATATTTATTGAAATGATGGTTAGAAGGTTCACAAAAGAAATGATATAAATGATTTTTATTATTAATTTATTTATACACAAAATAAATTGTCATCTGGATTCTAAAATATAAATTTAATGACTAAACTAAAAGGTTAAATTAAGAAATACTAAACTTAACACATAAGCTAACAAATTCAGAATCTAGAACCCCAGAAGCTAAGCATATTTTTGAACGTAATCTCATAAGTTTCTGCTTTTGATTAATAACAACTTCTGAATACATCAAACTACTGTTTCTAACTAAACAGTCTCATAAGCTTACAACTTCTGACTAACAACTTTATAAGTTAAACTGCTTCTGAGCAATACTACTTCTGAACAACAACATTAAAAGCTTCTGATTCTAACAACAGCTTTTGAATATGAAATATTTTCCAACATCATCGCTTAATTCATATTTAGCTAACCAAAAAATTACAACACCAATTACATCTCTCAAATGGATAAGGTGTTCAGTCTTGACATCCTTCGCACAACATCTGCAAGTTGCTTATGATTGCTACAGTGTGCAACTTCTAATACTCCATTTAGAAATGCATATTTCACTTTGAAAACACATCTGACGCTCATGTTTTTCTTCTCCTTCGGAAGTTCAGTTAATTTTCAAGTCTTGTTTCTTTCAATAGCATCAAGCTCTTCTTTCATGGCCTTCAACCACACTTTCTTCTTGGGAGTTTCACATGTTGACAACGCAACCACCAATTACTTCTTGGAGCACCAAGAAATAGGACTTTCCAAATACAAACAAAAATATCCAGAAGTATTGCTTCTGTCAACTCTGTATTCATACAAATCAGAATCCGAATAGCATATCAACTTTGCATCTGATCTAACACCGGAAAGGAATAACACTCCATACCTCAGAGTCCCTTCAGTATCTTGTAGCTTGTCTGTTGTACCCCAAAATTTTCCCTCCCATATTCCTCAAGATTTCTCAAAGGTTGCACAGTCAAATCACCTCCTAAGGCAGTCAAGTCAAAATTAGGGTTTTGTGTTGCATCAAGGTCCTTACATCCAAATGACCTCAAGTGCTCCTTAATGTCCTAACTTATGCTCAAATTCAGGTTCGGCTCAAGAGTCAATTCTTTAAAGAAGGTATCCGACTGTGTGAGTTTTCTCGAAGAAATATGGTGAAAAAGTGTGCTGAAAGTGCAGTTTTTACGCGCTAAAAAATTCATAACTTGAAGATCGTGACTCGTTTTGAACCTGTTCCGGTGGCCAAAATTCCGTCTTGACATTATCTACGTTTTCATCTCTCACGGCTGGAAGCCAATTTCGATCAGAAGGTCTTCAAAAATGTGGATTTATCAAGTATTTTCGCACAGAAAATTTGTGACAGAAGTTTATTTGCGTCATGTTCAGAAAATCATAACTTGATCGATTTTCATCGTATCGAGCTGGTTCCGGCGCCAAAATTTCACAAATTGAGTTGGCTACATTTTCACATGAGGTATCGAGTTCGAACGGTGTTCAAAATGCCTTCATTTTTTGCTCAGAGTGTGTGACACGCCGAAAATCCTGAATGCTGAATGTTATTTCATCTGGGCCGAAACTTCGAAAATTCATAACTCGGTCAATTTTTATCGGATTGGACTCATATTTTTACACAAGGTCACTGACTCATAGATCTACAACTTTGCTTCAAAAGTCGAGACCAAATTATGCACCAATGAATACCAGTTTTTTATTGAAGAACGTGTCAGAGTCGACACTGGAGCCCAAAATAAGTTTGTCTGAGCTGAAACTTCAAAAATTCATAACTAATTCACCGTTTATCCGATTGAGCCGATTTTCAGACAGGAGTTAGTTCTTGATGTCGGTTACATTTTGTTTTCACATTTCAACTTCAAAAATTGCACTTAAGTCTCTGCGATTTAGCCTGGAAAGTGACGAACTCAAGTGAACATTGGAGGCCCAATTGCACATTCAAAGCCCATTTTCTTTACCCTAATTTCCATTATATAATCACCTTCTTTTCACACAAATCAGAGAGGAGGAAAAGAGAGAAAAAACCTTGCCACAACACTGTTAAAATATCAAATTCTTTCAAGAACCCTAAAACCTTGAAATCCTTATTATAAATCAATCTCTCACTACAAACAAGTCATCACAGTTACAAACCAACACCTCATTACTTCTTCAGTAAGGATAAGGCTGGCTTGATCTCCATGATCCAAAGGGCATAAAAGCATTCAGGTCACTAATTTTCCAGTAAGGATTTAGACAGGATCTCATACACGTTCATTAAGGAACGTTGAGGCCAAAAGCCAAATGGCCAAAAGCCAAAAGCCAAAAGCCAAATGGCCAAAAGAACAACTTATGCATGACACCAATACATGGCGAGACAGACATCCTGAGAAGATTAAGGAACGTTGAGGCCAGAACACAAATGGCCAACAGCCAGAACACAAATGGCCATGAAATCCAATCCAATGGCCAAAGAATGCAGACCACGGTACTCAGGAGTCAATGAACACGCACGTGATGCCAGAAAGTCAAACAAGGCTTTTTGTCTAATGGACCAGATTTCTCACAATAAAACCTCCCTTTGGGTCTGAATACCCCCCATGGTTTGCACATTTTTATTTTTTATTTGATTTTTCTTTTTATTCTTTTAATTGTTTTCAATTGTTTTCTTTAATTTCATAAATTAATTTTCATAAGATAAAAAATCAGAAACTAAAATATATTTAATTATTATTATTTCACTATTAATTTATTTTGTAAATAAACTTTAATAATTAGTTTAGTAAATTAGGTTTTAAAACTTTAATCTTTTTCTCAATAAATTAAAATATGTAGAAATTAGGTTTTTTAACTTTTTATCACTTTTCTTAATAAATAATTTTTTCTTATTATCATTATTATTAATTACTAATTTATTTTGTAAATAAACATGTACATTAAATATTTAGTAAATTAGGTTAAACTTTAATATTTTTCTTTAATAATTAAAAACAACTTAGAATTAGGGTTTCTCTTGAATTTTAATTTTCTTTATTTTATAAATACAAAAACCATCAAAAAAACATTTTTTTTCTTTAATTTAATAATTAATTAACTTTTCATTCAATTTAATTCCAAAAGGGTCCAACGCCCTCGAACGTTCTATTTTCTATTCTTTTCGCGCATTTATTCTTATTTTTCTTGTAAATATTATGTAACTGTTCAAGCCATGTAATAGTAACTAGATTTTACTTTCCGCATTTTATTAAAAACGGGTCTTTGTAATTTGGCGATGTATAGACCCGCGCCTTGTAATAGCGTAGGATTTATCTTTCCGCATTTAAATTTCCGCACTTTTAAATTATAATTGCATGAAAGAATGTATGGCTTAAATTAAAAACAAGCGTAGAGCACCATGATACATGTACAAGATAAATATTAACCTGAAAACAACACACAAATTCACACACCACTCTTAGGGTACGCCTCACTGTTGCCTTGCCCTCGAAACGTGGTCGTCGAGTATAGGACGTTTTAGTAAGTCCTTATGTTCATGACATGATCCAGTTGCCTCGAAACGGTTGCCTCAGAATTAAAAAGGATCAATGGCATAAGGGTAGCTTCTAAGGTGTCCTACTGTTGCTCTGGTGACCACACTGTCCCTAACAAACGAATTGACCCGAACACCTCCAACGGTGGTGCTACCTACCTCTCAATGGTGGGATGGAACTACCTTAAGGACATTTACACAGCCTAATTCCTTAGGGTAGGTGGATGACTCATAGATACTTGCTCTAATTCAAAATAAATCAAAAACTCTTTTCACATCGACACTTTTCAAAAAGCTTTCAAAATAATTTTTCAAACACTCTTGAGGACTGATACAAGAGTCGATCTGAAATCTTTAAACGAAACTTTTTCAAACCCACTCACAATTGAAAAGCAAACACTTTTGAAAACACAATGAGCAAGTATCTAAGAGCCCATGGATAACCATGGATAGAAAGGGTGCTAACACCTTCCCTTTCTATAAATCTACCTCCCGAACCGAGAAACTATCTCACAAGGAATTTTGCTGTGCTTTTGTCCTGTCCATGTTGGAGAAAATAAAAGACGGTGGCGACTCTTGCTTACCGCGACATTTCGCGAACCAGCGTTAAACAGTCAGTCCCAGATCCACTGATCACAGAACTGGCGACTCTGCTGGGGAAATCTTTAAAGTGAGGTGTACCTTAGGACTAAGATCACTTGTGTTTTCAATTGTCTGAATTGTTTGCTTTAAATTGTGGGCCTGTCTCGGGAGTTCTATAGATCCTAACCCGGATCTGGGGGATACCTTCTTAGAAAGTAGCAACAAGACTGTGAGGGAACTGTGCGGGGTATACCGACATGGTTGAAGCAGTCTGCTACGTTGATGTGGCACTTTGGTGTGTACCGGTAACCCTTGAGTTCAGTCAAGGAGAGTACGGGGCCGCCGCGTGGTATCGTGAAGCATCAACTGACCTTAGGAACCTTAATTGAACCATCTTGGCCTCTTTAGGGTAGTGAGATAACTGACTTTGGTGCAGTTCGAGGTTGGTTGATACTCGATACTACACTCAATTGAGGGTTGTTTTCTTGGAATATTTCGGTTGCCAGTT